TTGCACTTACTTAGCAAGTACGGGCAATCGTAATGTCCTAAAGACTATGTCCTCCTATAGTAATATAATTATCGTACTTTTATGTTAAAAAAAAAAAGTTAATACACCCTTCGATTCAAAATAAGTGTTTACTTACTCTTAAAAATAATAGGTAATTTGACTAAAATACCCCTAATTAAAATATTCATATTATTAACATGACATATTGGAACTTGGTCACTTAACACTTAATATTAACTAGTATGAACATATTGCAACGATTAAACGAACACTCCCTAGACCAAACCATAAGTGAGCCAAATTTGCATCTGTAAGAAAACGTGGAATGGCAAAAATTTGATTTCAGTCAAACTTCGAGTAACCAAATTTTGACATATTTAATGATATTATAGAAAATTGGATTAATTTAAAAGACTTTTAGGGATATGTAAATAAGGACACTCCTGAAAAAATAAGATTAATTCTTTTTTGATTTGATAGACACTTATTCTTAACCAAAAAAAGAGGCTAACTCTTTTTTAACCGAAGAGAGTAGTAAATAACGGGAGTAGTCTTTTTCTTTCCATTTTAAAGGGCTGAAGAGTAGAGGAGGATTCCCATCTATACATTTTTATCTTTCTCTTTTTCATAATACAAAATTCATTAAAAATGATATGACATCTAATCCAAAGAGTTAGGCGAACTAACAAGCATAATAAATACATTTGGATACTACAAAGATGTAAACAAATCTATAACATGGGTAATATTATAAATAAGTCTAAAACTGACAATACGTAAGGGTGAAATATTAAATACTACAAGTCATGAGCTCTACGAATAATAGTACAATTGTCTGCAACATAACATAAATATTGTTTGAATGAAAGCAACAGTAATAGGTAGATAAGGAAAGGTGACTAGGAATTGCGGATCTAACAAAGCAACTCACTCTCAAGTAGTCTCCAATCAATCTCCAAAGGGAGTCTCTTGAACTCCACAAAAATGTAGAGAAGTGTAACACGAGTACACTGACACAATACTCCATAAGCACCTTGACCGGCCTCAACAAAGTAGTGATGAGGGTTTGATAAAAAAAAAAATACTCACTTGGATCACTTATGAAATTTATATACATAGTAGTAATAACAGAAAAGAGGCACAAAAATAGCATAATAAGATATGCAGATATAGAGCATGTGATATAAAATATCTTATCTTGACCGAATAAATCCAACGCTTTTAAAGCATGCTTTAAATCAGAACAGATTGATGATATGTACAAGTAAAATATATAAGAATGTATAAAAAGGAAGAGAGGATTCACTTAATAACTTCAACCTTTATGTTCAAACTCATCAATATGTATCATAATCAGATTTCGCATACACAGTCGAAGGTAGCATAAGTGGTCAAATGATATTAGAGTGTCGGATCCATATCCACACGCAACAGAACCGTAAAATCCATATGCCTTATAGCATTATGTATAACATCTATATCTTTATCAATCTATAATTAAAAGCAGAAGACAAAAGCACCTCATGAAGCCAAATGACAGAACAATAGAATGACATATGACATAATTAGTTATTAAATTATTTATTGGTTATTCTTTTTAATTTAAATATATCTAAAAAATGAAAATAATTAAAAAAACTACCATNAATATGTAAAAATAACTACTCATTCAAATTGTGTGGGATTAGTTTAAAGTTGGAGTTTTTAAATTATTTTAAATTAAAAAAACAAAAAAAACTATAAGAAACAAAAAAAAGAGAAGAAAAACAACTCATTCAAATCATGGAGTAGTTTCAAGTTAGTGTTTTAAAATAATTTTAAAATAAAAATAGATATCTTATAATTAACTATAATAAAAAAACGAAAATATAAATATATAAGAAAATAACTACCCATTCAAATTGGTAGTTATTTTTAATTAATAATTAGTTATTGGTTATTATTTTTGAATTTAAATATATATAAAAAACGAAAATAAAAAAAATACAAAACTACCATATATATATATATTGGTTACTTTATTTAAATTAATAAATATAGATATCTTATAATTAACTATAATATAAATTGGGGTTTTAAATTAATAAAATAGTAAATTACCAATTCAAATTGGGTTGTAGTTTTAAGTTGGAGTTTTAAAATTATGTAAAAATAAAAAAATAAAAATAAAGTAATAAAAAAAACTTCAGAGAAAAATATTAAATAACGTAATATGCTAATGAAACTTTCTATTAACAAAGTAATAGTATTAAATATTGAAAGATATAATAAAGAAAAATACGTAACAAAAACATTATTCGATGCGCTGCCTGTATAAGTCCCATTAGTTTAACATAGATTTTATTCACTAAAATTTAGATAATATTATTAAGAACAACAGAATAAAATTTAAAATAAAAAAAATTCAATAGTAATAAATTATATATCTTCTCATATATTACAAAAAGAAAGCGAATACTAAATATTGTTTAATATAATAAAGAAAAATAGAACAAAAAAGTTATTCACTGACTATATAAGTACGTTTGATTTAATAGAGATTTCATTATTGGGTATATCGTATTGACAAACAAGATGACAATTGAATTTTATTAAAGCAATACGATCTAATAGGATCAAACAAGCCTGATCATAATTTAATTTAATTAATATTTTTTTAATATTGACCGCGCATCGCGCGGGTACGACTACTAGTTATAATAAAAGGAGAGTAGTATGCATTGTGGTTAAGCCAAGTGGCAAGCTTAAATGCAGTCACTTGGCAATTTTAAGACAACATTAACAATTAAAAATTATAAATGGAAACATAATTAATGAAAGTAGTTGAATGAGTCTTATACATAATCTAAATAGATCTTAGACAAATCTAAACTCTCCCCCTCCCCCCTCTCTATCTATATATATATATATAAGCAAAGTGTGCTAATAAAATATTAGAATTATTAATACAATAATAATAATAATAAATAGATATTATAATAAAGCATAATAAGAAACAAAAAAAGTTATACGATGAATATTTATTTTTCTTTAATTTCAAATAGGTTTAATTAATAACATAATGTATTAAGAAGTAGGATGACAGTTGTAACTATATTAATGTGATATTAATATATTAAAAGATAAATCATAATTTAAAATAATTAATATTCTTGAATACTGATCATGCTTGCGCGGGTTTTAACATATATTTATATAATGTTGAAAGGAGGATAGTCAGTATTGTGATTAAGTTAAGTGGTGCTTTTAAAAAAAAAATCATTTGGCACTTTTAGATCAAAAACCTAATAAGAATTAGGAAAAATCTAATGAAATCTATATAAAAAATTTGAATTAATAATGGAAAGATAAAATATTTTTTTCAAAAAAAAAAAACTAATCAATGAGATTTCTAAATGAATTTGAGCAAAATTACATAAATGAAGGTGACCATCTTATCTAAGATAGGTATTTTTCATAAATGAATAATTTGAGTTTTATTTTTCGTATGTTATGGAACTAGGAATCTTGGAAGGAAACTTTCCCAGTTAGTGGCCCTAATTGAATTGAGAATATTAGTAATTTTATGATAAAATAGCAAACTAACGTATCTGCTTATATTTTGGATGAATCAAAATTATAATTTAATTTAAATATTACAGTGAGTGACAATTTAAATTTAAAAGTTTCATTTGCTAATGGCTATGTTAATATGTAATATAAAAATAACAATTATTAAGAATATCAATAGTTTTATGATAAATAGTAAAGTGACATATCTTTTTTATATTTAGGAAATTATAATTAATTTAGTTTTAAATGTAAAATTATTTCGATTATATGTAAAATTCAAAATGAAAAAGTTAATTATAATATTAAAGTAGAGAAAGATGTACCATGATGGGAATAGAGATAATATCAGAATATTTACACGTTAAATTAATTTTAAAAATAAAATTAACTAAGCAAATAATATACAAGATATTATTGAAAAATTTGAAAAATTAAAAAAATCATGAACAGTAGAATAATATTTTAATAGTAATTTTTAAGAAGTAAGAAATATTTATGCTATATTAAAAGAAGTAGTGGATAATGATTTTAAGCAAAGTGACGTGTTAATAAAATATAATAATATAATAATACTAAATGATAGATAGTATAATAAAAAATAAGAAATACAAAATTATAAGAAGACTATATGATTTATTTTGCTTTAATTCAATATAGATTTAATTAATGAAATATTGTATTAAGAATTAAGATGCAATTTGAATTCTATTAACTAAATTACAATAAAAATGCAAATTATAATTTAAAATAATTAATTTTTTGTAATATTGACTGCGCATTGCGCGGATACTAGTATATACTAGTTCTTTAACTAAAACCTCAACAAGAACATGAGTCCACATGCCCTAAAAGCTCAACGGCTCATAATAATCTCAAATAAGTATGAGAACAAGATATATGTGCATGCTACTAAGGTGGATATAAGAAATATTGTATTACTAAACAATTTCATCATGTAAAATAGTTATATGAGATCCATAATATTAAACTAGTATATGAAGGATGCAAACATTTTAGTGTGAATGAGATGATCAAGTAGACAGGTAAAACATGCAATAAGTAAGGCAATGTGGCAAACAAGGCATAAAAAGGACTAATAAATTATCCCAAGCATGCATAAACCTAGGCCTCCAAAGGTCCGTAATCTAGTCAAAAGCATCAAGTTATAGTCGTAGGGCTCAATTTCATAAAAAATGCAATATTAAGTCAACAAAAGTCAACCCTGAGTCACGTAGTCAAACCTTGAAACAAAAATCGAATCTCGATGACCCATATCTTTTTGAGTCTAAATATATAATTAGATTCTCAATCGAAGTATATATTGGGTGTTCAAATCATTAAAAGTCGCTTTCTTATTTTCTGTCATGACCCAAAATTTACAAGTCGCGATAGCACCTAACCCGATCTGTTCGGTCAGCCAATTAACAACTAATACATTTCTAATAAAATAAATGTAATCAACAATCGATATATCTGGATTCCAAACAATAACCCAAGGACTGGTAGTACAAGACATGAGTTACTAAGACTGGATTATTGTAAAAACGGATATGAAATAAATACAAATTCTATTTGAAATGTACATATATAGAATTCAACTCTAGAACTATCCAGGGACAAGTGGTAGCCACATTAGGCACGAACATCTTCAGAGTCAGCCCCCGCCATCTACCGCAGCTCTGCTCCAGAATCTGCATGCAAGGTGCGGAAGTGTAGTATGAGTACACCGACCCCATGTACTCAGTAAGTATCTTGACTAACCTCGGTGAAATAGTGACGAGACTTTTTAGTTAAAAGATACTCACTGATATAACCTGTACCATAAATTAGCAATAGAACAATACTACAATATAACATAAAAGAGTACACGAAACAAATATGCAAAGAAATAAATGAGTACTAGAAGAGATTACAATTCAATATTTCCTAATATTTCGACCAATCCTTTCCATGGAGTGATAACCAATAAACTATGATAGTAACTCCCTAACTTCCATAGTGTGAGAAATATACTCAAGATATCAAGTCAATGGCATGGCAACACCCTTCGTGCATTTATCTCATCCTCACCAAATAAGTGTATAAAAGCACCAACTAGGTGGCAGAAATGTCGATAACAGTAATGACAAAGTAGAAAATATACAAGCAACAATAATGAAGAAGGAAATACATATGGACAACGGTAATAGACCAGGTTGAAGGCATAAGAGTAATGACAACAATTAGAAAAGAGGAACATAAACTTCACCTAACTAGAATGATGGAGGGTCAAGATGTAGATATAACAAAGAAGAGGGGAAAACACGATCTTTGTGAGCTAACAAATAGAAGGCATGAATGACTAACATGGTAGAAAACTTATACTAAAGTGCAACAAAGTAGAAACGACATGGACACAGATATATTAGTAAGAAAGGAGGCATGATATTTGCAAGTTAAGCAAGTAAAAAGCATGGGCAACACAACAATTGAGATAGAGAACAATGACAGAACAACAACGACAAGTGACATATGAGACATAGGTACAACAATAACAGCTCAAGGTAAAGGCATGGATGTATACACAAGGAAAAGATATTACAACATAATGCATTTCCCTCGTCCTTGCCTGCACGGAAACGCCCTTTGTGCCATGAACTCGTGGTAATATAAAAGCATGATAATATAGATGAAATGTCATGGCATCACCCTTCATGCTTTTACTCTCATCCTTGCATGATAATGTAAGTGAGATGGCACGGCATCACCCGTCGTGTTTTACACTCTTCCTCACATGATAATGTATATACAATGGCATGACATCAGCCTTCTGCTTTACGCTCTTCCTCACCAAGCATATATATATATCAAGGACAAGCAAAGTAGGAAGTATGAATAACATCGAGGAGAGTGATTAAGCGAATATTCCAAATGAACATCAATCATAGCTTTCGAGCCAATAACAATTCAATAAACCTCAAGTATTTTATTATTCAAGTATTTCGATAAGTCTCACAAATGATCTTTAACTCAAGTATAGAGTCCAACATCTCAAGAATAACGGTCGTAGCGATGCATTAATGATTAAACATAGTGATGACTTAATTTAACACATCAAAGTTCAAAGTTTCACAAAAATCTGTCAAATTTTTAATGAAGTTATAATGAGCTAAATCTTGGTTCCTAGCATTTAATTTCATATTCTTGATAATCTAGAAGTCAAGAAGAGCATGAAACGAGCAGGTCACAAAATTCTACAAGACATAATTAATAGTATAATTTATCCCCCGGGCATGATTAACCCTGGCACATGCATATACGCTCGTCACCTCATATATGCATCACCCCCGCATGCAGTAAACAATGGCAATTGTAGAAAAAATTCTCTAAACAAAGTTAGGCAAGACACTTACCTCAAGCAAGCCAAGTCGATACACTAGAAGCGTCATCCCGCTCAAATCATCCTCTGAACGGCTCGAAACTAACCAAAAGCAACTCAAAATCATCAAATAATGGCGTAGGAAGCAAACTCAATTGATAAAGATCGAATCTTTACACATTTACTCAAAGTCAATCAAAAAGTCAAACCCTGTCTCGCACCTCAAAACCTGACAAAACTCACAAAATCTGACAACCCATTCAATTACGAGTCCAACCATACTAATTTCACTCAAATTCGACTCCGAATCGATGTTCAAAACTCAAAATTCACTTTAGGAAAGTTTAGACAGAAACTCCCAATTTCTCTTTTGAAATCATGAATCAAATGCCAAAAATGAGGATAGAATCACGAAATATAATCAAAATCGAGTATACACTTGCCCCAATCCATGTGATGAAAATCGTCTCCAAAATCATCTAAATCCGAGCTACATATCTCAAAATATGATAAAATGTGTGAAACCTTCGAAATAGAGTACTTTATAATACTGTTCCAGCAATACCATTCGCTAACGCAGTAACAGCCTCGCATTCGCAAAGCACATCTTCACAGCCCCTGAATAACCCTTTGTGTTCGCGTCCCAGTCCCCGCGAATGCGATGCACAGACCTAGCCACCCTCCGCGAACGCGTAAGCTCCATTGCGAACGCGAATCACAATCTCCCCCGGCTAAACTCCTTATACGCGAACGCGATATCTTCTTTGCGAACGCGTTGAACAAACAACTCTGCTGACAAAATACCCATCGCCATCGCGTCCCCTCTCATGCAATCGCGAAGCACAACTGAAACACCAAAAAAACCAGAAATCTCATGCAACTCCGAAATGATCCGAAGTTAATCTAAAACATACCCGAGCCCGCCGGGACCCCGTCCGAACATGCCAACAAGTCCTATAACCTAATATGGACGTACTCGAGGCCACAAATCACACATAATAATATCAAAATCACGAATCGCACCTCGAATCGAATTTAATGAACTTTTGAACTTTCAGCTTCCAAAACCCGTGCCGAACTATATCAATTCAACTCGGAATGGACTCAAATGTTTCACACAAGTCCCAAATGACATAAAGAAGCTATTCATATTCCCTGAACCATGATCCGAACCCGATATCATCAAAGTCAACTCTCGGTCAAACTTATGAACATTCCAAACCTTCAAATTTCTAACTTTCGCTAATTAGTGTCGAATCCTTCTAGAAATATCCAAAGGCAAATCCGGGCATACGCCTAAGTCCAAAATCACCACCCGGACCTAATGAAACCATTAAAACTCTGATCCGGGGTCAAATACGTAAAAGTCAAACTTAGTCAAGTCTTCCAACTCAAAGCTTCTAACATGAGATCCCGAATCATCTGAGAAACCAAAACCAACGATTCAAACAAGTCATAATACGTCATATGAGCTACTCAAGACTTCAAACAGCTGAACGGAATGCAAATGCTCAAAACGAGATCGAGTCGTTACATTTTCAAAGTCAAAACCCCCATTTTGACCTTTTGGATTCTATGATTTAGGTGTTAAAGTTTATCGATATTCATGATATATAATCAAAATGAGGTGTAGATTACTTATTTCCAAGATGTTGGTAAAATCTCTTCCAAAATCGCATTAGTCCGACCTCTCAAAATCCAAAAATAATAGCATGACTTCAAAATCTCAAAATTAGACATGTTATACCTCTACTGCCAAATCCTTCATCGCAAATTGCGACCAGGAGCTATGCGATTGCAAAGAGCAATCAACTGGCCTCCTACCAACTGCCAATATAGCCCACGTGACCACAAAGGTCACTTCCTCCAATCCACGCTATTATACTAGAAAAATCTACAAGTTTAGTTCTCGTTCCAAGTGCACTAAAATACTTCTCAGCCTCTCGGGTCCTAATCTAAACATCCAAACAAGACCAAAGTCAATTTAATGAATTTTACGGTTTCAAATAGCATGCAAATGTACGAAAATACCCCCGAGCCTTTGGGACCCAAACCTCCCACACTTATAAGTCCAAAATCATTGTACGAACATTTAAAATTTCTCAAAGCAAAAATTTGAGCAAAAACTCAAAACCATCAATTGAATCATTGCTTCTTCAATTCTCTTTTAATTCTCCCAACCCGCAAGTAGAAAATTCTATTGAATTGTTTAGTTTGAATTGAATGCCTCTTTGGGTTATTGATGCTCTAAAGTCAAATCAAACATAAATAGTATCACAAAAGTTTTTTTTTAATGTTAAAAAAAAAAAGAACTTGCATAATAACAAGGCTTAATATGCCTGAGTATCTAACCCCAAATCAGTCTGAACTTTTTTCTTCTTCAAAAAACATGATTTTCGTTTAATATGTAACTGAACAAACTTTTGATTAAACCCTTTTGAATTTAACCTCTGGCGCCATGTAGACCTTTTTTCAGTATATCCTCCAAATATATCAATCTTGATTCGATTCCTGAGCATATAGGGCAATTTTTTTAAATATTTGTATTCTTTAATATCCAGTTAAATATCTCATAAGGTCTATATTTGCAACAGCACTTAAAAATTTTGACAATCTGTGTTGGAGTATTGTATAAGGCGAAAATTTGGAGTCTACACTCTACAGGAAGCTAAGCCACCAATCGCAATAAGTTTCTATATCTGCAACTTTGGAGAGGCGGGTTTCTCTATTATTTTAACTGCACCTAGCTATTTATTTTGTTTATTTGCAAAATTGAGTTTACCATAATTAATTTATTTCAATTAATCACAAATCTGCCTGCAATTACAAGTTCATAATAATGTTTGCTTATGGTTTTTGACACTTATACCTTAAAAACTTGCCAATTTTTTTCTTTTTTATGTCTTAGAGATTGATACACATTTCTATTATCCTTACTTGAGCGACATGACTGTATTGGGAAAAAAACTGAGTTTATATTAAAGATGATGTGGCATGACACGTGGATTAGTTAA